AGCAACGAGGGAAATCTATTGCACCGCAGTGAATCATTCCACGCTGAGGCCTCCCGAATACGATTGAGACTATTGGTTTTCACCATTGAGTTTTCGACATTGAGAGGGCTCCTCTGTAAAAGCGTTTGCTTTGCGCGCGGGCAACGAGGAAAACGTCATTCTGCCGCAATGCAGTGTTCCACGTTGAGGTCCCCCGAAAACTAGTGAAACAATGTGTTTTCACGCTTCAGTTTTCGAAGAATTGGAGGGGCATTGCTCGCGCGCGCGAGCAGCGCGGAACGCGCATTGGGCAACAATGCATTCTTCTTCGTGGAGGCCTCCAGGATATGAATGGAACGATTGGTTGTAACCGTTCAGTTTTCGAAAGTAGGATGGCTATTCGGCATCGGTGGCGTCGCGTTCCCGCCCCCCCTCCCTTTTTTCGTCGTTCGCCGCGCGCTCGCGGGCGCGCGCCCGCGAGCAACGAGGGAAGGACACTGCGCCACCGTGCGTTATCTCAGTTTGGGGCCGCCAGAATTCGAGTTCAACTATTGGTTTTCACGATTCAGCTGTTGAAATTAAGATTGCGGTTCGGCGCAGGTTTTTGCGCTGCGCGGCGCGGGCAGCGAGGAACGCGCACTGCGCCCCAATGCATTATTCCACGCTTGGGCCTGCGCGAGCACTGAGGAACGCGCATTGCATCACAATGCGTAACTCCATGTCGGTGCGGATCCCTTTTCGGAATGCGAGTCGGACATCTGGCGAGCGCCATTTAATTGTCGAGCTTCGGATGGCCATGCTGCGTCGGTTTTTGCGCTGCGCACGCGCAAGCGCGCGAGCAATGGGGGCAGTGCGTTGCGTCGCGCTGCATCCTGCTACGTTGGGGCCATGCGGATGCCGGTGGAATACTTGGTTTTTCGAATTCAATTCTCGTTCAGGATGGCCATTCGGCGCCGTCTGTTTTTGCGTGGCGAGCGCAGGCGGGCACTGGGGAAATAGAGGGTGCGTCGCAATGCCGCATTCCACTTTTATGGTATCAGAATATATGAGAAACAAAAGGTTGTCGTCCGTTGGTTTTCGAAGTTCACACTACAATTCGGCTTCTAGTTTTGCATCGCGAACACGGGAGCTGCGCGGTGCGCTGCGTACCTGTTTCGCGCGGGGCGCTAGCGAGTTTTCGGGCCCGCAATGGGCGGGGGCCCGCGCTTCGGCGTCAGCCGAGACATGTCTGCGGATTGCAGCTCGCAGGCGCGCGTTTGCGCAGGGAGCTTCTCGGCCGTGCGAAGCCGCACTCGGCGGGGCCAGCGGCGCGCGCTTGCCGCGATCAACCTGAAGCCCCGAGCGGGCCCATTCCGCGCCTTGCCCCCGCTTGCAACTCAACGGCCCGCCGCCCGCACTAGCGTTCCGGGCAGACCTGCCTGGGGCAGCAATGCGTGCGACGCCGAGGTGGCGTCGCCGCGCTCGCGCGTGTCATTGTCCATGATCGAGAAGGCGCGATCTTGCGCTGGTCGCTCTTGGGGCCGTCAGCGCGCGCCGCCGTGCTTGCGAACTCGGGCCCGAATTCGCCGCGGCCGCGGCGGGCGATGCATCGGGGTTGGGCGGGAGGGGGGGCGGGGGGGGCGCTAATTACGCGCCTCCCGTGTCCGAGCTGGCAGAGGCTCTGAGGTGCTCGGTAGACCGCGCGCTGCCCCAGCTTCGTCCGCGCTGGGGGGGTGAAAATAGGCTGGAAGAGCACATTGTCTAAACCACTCACGCCCTGAAGGCTTGGTGTGATTCAAAACGAGAGACACAGGAGGGCCCGGGAACAAAAGGAATATGCCCGCGACACAGCGGGCACGAACGCAATTCGATACGTGCAACCATGGAACATGTGGGACCGAACGAACATCGAATTCAGTTTCCGTCCGTTCGAAGGGGCGAAGATGCGGCGCCGACAACGTATGTGTAACGCTTTACTTGTGTTGTTCAGCGTCCAAAACCGCGGGGCAAAACCGACATCGTATTCCACGTTTCCTTTGCTCACATGGTCCGGCCAGCGAAGCATATCATCTAGTCAATGTCTGCCGCTTCGCAGCTCACAACAGCGCTGCCATATTATGCTAAACCAGATGAATTCGTGTCGTATCCAGCTGAAGTTGTAGCATGCGAATTGCTACAAACGTCGCTAATCCAACTTAGAAGCTAAGCTGGTTTGGGCAGTTGCATTGCGCCTCCATTCCCACACCGGTCCATTCGGAAACCCATGCCCGTGAAAATTGTCCGAAAACGGGGACGGAGAGACATACAATGACACACTGGGGAGCAAGGATGAAGAGAACGAGAAAGAGAGACAGAGATATTTGAGATCAGTGAAGAAGTTCGTGGATGACCATTTCGGGCCACCCTGGGGGCCCGCGGGGGGGAGAGTGAGGAGGATGATGCTGAGGAGGCCAACCGCCTCTTTGGGTCCTCGTGGAGCGCGCCTGGGGCGTTTTGATGCTCTTGGGGCCTTCTTGGGGCCTTTTTGAGACCCTCTTGGGGTTCTCGTGGGGCCCTTTTGGGGGCCCTATGACGGCTCCTGGGAGGTGGGGGCAATTTGCCTCCCCCCCTCCTTGGGCCATCAAACTCGCCTCTTGGGGCGTTCGTGGGCCCCTCGTGGGGCTCTCTTGGGCGCTCGTGGGGCCGCCTGGGGGGCCTCTTGGGCCCATCGTGGGCCTCTCGTGGGATCATTGTGAGGCTTCTGGAGCGCATGGGAAGCGAAAAGGCGAGAAGGCCAACATCATCGATTTCCTGAAGATGTTTGAAGGGGGGCTCCGAGTGTACGTGGAACCGTTTTGTGGCCATCGTCGGGCCTCGTCGAGGTATGTCGGAAGCTATCTTGAACCATCGTCGGCTATCTTGAGCAATATTCGAGACAATCTGAAAGCATCGGACGCCCTCTTGGAGCCACCTTGGGCCATCTTCGCGACACCCAAAGAACCTCAGGGAGTGGGGGAGATGTAAACCTCCTGGAAGGGAAGAGGTCGTGGAATCGTCAGACCACCTTCGCCCAAAGGGCTGGTGATATCATAAAGATGATAAGAGCATTTGATTCGTGTATGATTCGCTATCCCACTTAGAATTGGCTGAACGTGGTTGTATGTGGTCAGGCGCCGTTTCAAGTGGATGACCGTACTTATTCAAACATTATAACAACTGTGGGCGCGCCTATAGGCATTGGTGTGCTTTGTAAACACCTACGACTAGCTAAACAACAGAACACCGAAGCGCATCCAAGTTGGAGGCATCTTGTGACTACCTTGGGTCGTCATGAGGCTTTTTTCGGGCCGTCTCGGAAGCCAGGAAGACCGAAGAACCGCGTTCCCCACATCAGACAATTGTTTGGGGTATTTAATGGGTTTTGCGTTTGTGTGTTCTCTCGGGGGTCTTCTGTGGGTCGTCTTCGGTCGCTTTGGGGGTATTTTGGGCCGCGTGGGGCTCTCGCAGGGCCGTTTAGCCGCATTCCTGACCAAGTTGGGACCCTGGGCAACGCCTGGCAGCAGCGTCCCAGAAGCCTTTCAGGCCCAGGGGAGCGTCTGCAGGTCCTGGGTTTTGGAGGGGGTCCCCGAGACCAGGGATTTGAGGGGTCGGGTTTGAGGGGGGCAGAGCGGAAATCCTACCCTTCCGGGAAATACAACTATCGGAGGTGAGGGGGTGAGATCGAAGTGGAACGGAGAGCCCCCCTACCGGGAAATCGATTTCGGTTTCGTGTTCGTGCGTGCCGTGCGTGCGGGCGAGGCGAAGCTGCGTGAGCGGGCGAGAGAAAGTCTCCTGTGGCTGAGGCGCGGCCGGACCAAATGTTTCCCTTCTGGGCGGCCGGTGGCGCGCGGTGTCCCGCCGGTGAACCGCTGGTGTCCCGTCGGTTCTCCTGTGGCTGAGGCGCGGCTGGACCAAATGTTTCCCTTCCGGGCGGCCGGTGGCGCGCGGTGTCCCGCCGGTGTCCCGCTGGTGTCCCGTCGGTGTCCCGTCGGTGTCCCGATGATGATGTGGATGATTATGATGATGATGATGATGATGATGATGATGATGATGATGATGATGATGATGATGATGATGATGATGATGATGATGATGATGATGATGATGATGATGATGATGATGATGATGATGATGATGTTGGTGTTGTGATGTGATGATGATGATGATGATGACGTCGATTGTGAGATCGATTGTGATATCGATAGTGAGACCGAATGTGAGATCGATTGTGAGATCGATAGTGAGATCGATTGTGAGATCGATAGTCAGATCGATTGTGAGATGATGATGGTGATGATGGTGATGATGGTAATGATGGTGATGATGGTGATGATGGTGATGATGATGATGATGATGATGACGATGATGATGATGATGGCGTCGATTGTGAGATCGATTGGGAGTTCGACTGTGAGATCGATAATCAGATCGATTGTGCGATGCTGATGGTGATGATGGTGATGATGGCCATGATGGTGACGATGATTGTGATGATGATGATGATGACGTTGATCATGATGATGATGATGATGATGATGCTGCTGATGCTGATGATGATGACGATGATGTTGATGGTGATGTCGATGATGATGATGATGATGATGACGACGTCGATGGTGATATCGATTGTGAGATCGATAGTGAGATCGATAGCGAGATCGATAGTGATATCGATAATGAGATCGAATGTGAGATCGATAGCGAGATCGATTGAGTGAGACGTTGGTTCCCCCTCCCCCCTCACCTCCTTATCACCCGCAGGGTGGTCGTATAGGTAAAAAGGAAAGCATGTGCTGCGTGCGCGCATAGGAGATGCGGGGAACGATCATGAAGGAATCAGCGATGAGGAGTATGGGGGATGGCAGTAGTGGGAGGAGCGGGCTGAGATTGCTGGAGGGTTAGGGGCTGGGAGACAGAGAGAGAGAGAGAGAGTTGAGTGAGAAGTTGGATATTGGAAAGTCAAGCAGCAGTGCTTGAAGGACAAAGGCCGCTGGCGCCGAGAGAGCGTGGCCCCCACCCGTCAGGCATTGACGCGCGACTGGAACCGACGGGCCAGGTATGCGGACGAGAGCACCGCCGCCCAGACCTCCTGGCGACGCGAGAACATCGCGACGGACAGTGTTTCAACACTTCTGCGTCAGCGGTCATCTCTTTTGCCCCATTGAACCAAATAGAAAGGGGTGCGACGAAGAAGCACGCCCCAGCGATAGGATGCAGAGTTCAGGGGGTCGTGCAGCAATTGCCGCGTCAGGCGTCCAGGTCATGTGGCTGCTTTTGAATGGATCAGTTCTGTCCGTTCAGCGGAGGAGAGCTTGCTGCCTTACGCCTGGAGCCGTTCAGGCACCACGATTTTCTGGTGGCGAGTGCTTTCTCTCTCTCGGCCTTGGTCCGTGCGTACCGCACCTTTTTAATCTCTATTTCTCCTCCCTTGTCCCCAAACAAGGCCGCGAGAAGACCAGGAAAGGCATCGTATGATAGTAGGCGAGGGCGAGAATTATGACGAGGACGAAGGGATGAGTGCTGATGATGGTGATGATGATGATGACGACGATGGCGATGACGTTGACGATGGCGATGGCGATGATGATGATGATGATGACGATGATGGTGATGATGCTGATGATGATGATGAGGATGACGATGATGATGAGGATGAGGATGATGATGATGAGGATGAGGATATGATGACGGATGGCGATGACGATGATGACGATGATGATGATGTTGTTGTTGATGATAATGATGATGATGATGTTGGTATTGGTGTTGATGATGATGAGGATGACGGTGATGACGATGTTGATGGTGACGATGACGATAATGATGATGGTGACGATGATGATGTTGTTGATGGTGAGCATGGTGATGATGATGACGATGGCGATGACGACAATGGCGATGGTGATGGCGATGACGATAATACTGATGATACTGCTGATGCTGATGATGAGGATGATGATGATGATGATGATGGTGCCGATGATGATGAGGATGATGATGATGCTGACGATGACGCTAATGCTGATGGTGATGATGATGACGCTGATGACGCCGATGATGATGGTGATGATGAGGATGCCGATGATGCTGATGATGCTGGTTTTGATGATGATGATGATGATGATGCTGACGCTGATGACGATGACGATGATGATGCTGATGATGACGTCGATGATGATGATGTTTACGCTTATGCTGATGATGCTGATGCGGATGATGCTGTTGCCGATGATGTTGAGTTTGTCGATGATGATGATGATGATGAGGAGGAGGAGGAGTAGGAGGAGGAGAAGGAGGAGGATGCTGATGTTGATGATGCTTATGCTTCTGATGATGATGATGAGGAGGAGGAGGAGGAGGTGGAGGACGACGACGACGAGGGTGGCGATTCTGAGGACGACGAGGGGGCAGGGGGGCGGGGGGAGGGACGGAGGACCAGGACGACTCCCACCTTCTGTGGTGGGGGGATGGCTTCGCCGCGTGACGTTCCCAAAGCCAGCAGCAACAGCAACAACTCACGCCCTCCTCCCTCCGAGCTCGAAGTTTTACACCGTGCAGTCGGATAATGCGTCGGGGCCCAAGACCGGCGAGAGGTCTTGCCCGAGCCCGATCACGGCGGCGCGCATGGGGTGGGGCGCGGGGCGGGGGCGAGTGGGGCAGAGCCTCTCCGGGGCGGCCCGGGCCCCCCGGCAACAGATGTCGAATGAGAAACGTCGGGGGCGTGCATCGGGCCAGATTTAAGTCGGTCCTGTCCCTCTAAGGGAGGAATATTCAAAAATAGTCAAAACATAGTCTGGGGAGGTTTTTGTGATTACTTTTTGCATGTATAAAGCATTTTTAGGGTATTTTGAATTTTTCACCAAAAATCCGCCTGTAGGGGGACAGGCCTGACCTACGGCAAGACGAGAGGAGGGGGGGTGAGGGAGAGGGTCACCGTGAGGCGAGCAGGTCCTGAGGGAAATGGGTCCTGAATTTTCTTCGCTGGTCTTCGGGCTCTCGGGGCCCTCCCCAGGCCCAAGGACGGTCCAAGAACGACTCAGGATGAAAAGCTGGTGCTGAGGGAAGGTCCTGTGGTACAGAACCTGTTTCCTTCAGGACGTTGGTACCGCTCGGACGTGTGCATGTGTTCTCGGCGCGGACCATCGAGGAGCATTTTGGATCATTTTGCGAAAAAATAACGCACGAAACCGAAGAATGCTCGGGGAATGTGGACATCCGGATGATGGCGAGGGACGCATTTCCTTCATGCCGAAGGGTAGGGTACGAAATCTGCTGCATGCAGTTGGTTTCGGCCCCGCCGCCCGGGCTCCTTTCCTCGATACAGTGGCGCCTGGGGCGCTGGAGCTGATTCGCTAACCCTTCTTCTAATTACTAACCCCCCTTTCCGTCCGACCCGATCCACGGATGGCGGTCAGGACGTCGAGGCTTACGTTAATCCATAGCCACCGCCTGGAGCATCACGATCTTCGGGGACCTCAGCGAATGTGGACATATTTTAGTGGTTTCTGGCCAGTGCCGCCGATCCCGGGCGCTTCCTTTGCTGCCGGAAACGCGCGATGGCGGCCATGACCGGCGACGACGGCGAGCGGTGAGGATGATGATGGGGATGGGGAATGGAGGCAACGGGGTAGGATGAGGAGGAGGAGGGGGAGGAAGAGGAGGAGGAGGAGGAGGAGGATCATGATGAGGTGGAGGGGGGTGGGGGGGGAGTGGCAGGAGTAGCAGGGTACTGAGGATGAGGAGGAGCAGGAGGAAGCGGGAAGTGGAAAAAAGGGGAGGGGGAGAAGGAAGAGCATGGCGAGGATAAGGAGATTTTCGGCGATGGTTGGAGATGTTCGGCGGTTGTTGGGAAGCCTTTTTGGGGCCAGGTGGTGGCCCCCTGGTGCCGCGCAGATTTGGTGCACTTTCTGAAAGGCTTTGCGCTAGAGCTGTCAGCGTCGCAGTTATTTCTAGAGCCTTGTGCATCACCAGCCTCTGCTGGGAGCCATGATGTTTTTTTGGTATTTGGGGCCTTCGCGCGGTGATATCAGGGATGTGAAGGACATCGAAGACGGGAAAATATGTGAAAGCGTGGAAGAGCCTTTTGGTATTGGGCCCTCTTGGGCCTTTCCGGTGGCCTCCTGGGCCATCTTGGGCCTTTGTTGTGCCGTTTTGGAACCCTCTTGGCGGTTTCTTGGGCTGTTTTGGCGCTCTTTTGGGGCGTTCGCGACGCTCTGGAGGCCCAAGAGGCACATCCGTTAATACTGCACGTTTCCCCAAGGGAAGGGGACAATGTTTTTTCTATGGTTTTTCCCCATATCCTAAGGATTGGGGTTCTTGTTATTACTCTGACGCCTCCCACGCGCGGACTCTTTCCTCCCGCTCGCGCCTCCCTCCTCCCAATGATAATCACCAGATAAGACAAGACAAAATAAGATACTACAAGGTACGATAAGATAGCACAATATATGATAAGGTAAGATAAGATATATGACAAGGTAGGATAATATATAAGATAAGACAGCCTATGGAGTAATAAGATAAGACAAAATATGATGCGATAAGATGAGTTGATATACGATAAGCTAAGACAAGATAAGAGATTTCAAGATAAGATAGGATAGAGGGTAATAAAGGTAAGATAAGATAGGACTCGATAAGATAAGATGAGACTCGCTCTCACTCAGACTCACTCACAGTCACATTCACTCACACTCACACTCTCTCATGATCACAAAACGCTGCCAGGGGCATCATTTGGGAGCCCCAAGGGGGAGCCACCCTGGCTGATCTCACGAGCCCGTTCGCGCCGATTTTGGTGGGACGTCTCAGCTAGAATTGCCGTTTGGCCTCCCCAACATGTATCTCTTGAGAGCCTCATGGTCACAAAACGCTGCCAGGGGCATCATTTGGGAGCCCCAAGGGGGAGCCACCCTGGCTGATCTCACGAGCCCGTTCGCGCCGATTTTGGTGGGACGCCTCAGCTAGAATTGCCGTTTGGCTCCCCAACATGTATCTCTTGAGAGCCTCATGGTCACAAAACGCTGCCAGGGGCATCATTTGGGAGCCCCAAGGGGGAGCCACCCTGGCTGATCTCACGAGCCCGTTCGCGCCGATTTTGGTGGGACGCCTCAGCTAGAATTGCCGTTTGGCCTCCCCAACATGTATCTCTTGAGAGCCTCATGGTCACAAAACGCTGCCAGGGGCATCATTTGGGAGCCCCAAGGGGGAGCCACCCTGGCTGATCTCACGAGCCCGTTCGCGCCGATTTTGGTGGGACGTCTCAGCTAGAATTGCCGTTTGGCCTCCCCAACATGTATCTCTTGAGAGCCTCATGGTCACAAAACGCTGCCAGGGGCATCATTTGGGAGCCCCAAGGGGGAGCCACCCTGGCTGATCTCACGAGCCCGTTCGCGCCGATTTTGGTGGGACGCCTCAGCTAGAATTGCCGTTTGGCCTCCCCAACATGTATCTCTTGAGAGCCTCATGGTCACAAAACGCTGCCAGGGGCATCATTTGGGAGCCCCAAGGGGGAGCCACCCTGGCTGATCTCACGAGCCCGTTCGCGCCGATTTTGGTGGGACGCCTCAGCTAGAATTGCCGTTTGGCGTCCCCAACATGTATCTCTTGAGAGCCTCATGGTCACAAAACGCTGCCAGGGGCATCATTTGGGAGCCCCAGGGGGGGTCCACCAGGGGCTTCATAGTCACCAAACGCTGCCAGGGGCAGCATTTTGGCTTCCCAAAGAGGAGTCGACCCGGGCCTCCTAGTCGCCAGACACTGCCAGGGGCACCATTGGGATTCAGACTCGCACCCAGACTCACTCATACACAAGCTCACTCACACTCAGATTCATTTCTTCAGAGTCAGGCACACACAGACGTATCCATACTCAGACTCACCCACACTCAGGCTCACCTAACCCAGACTCCGTCAGAAGCCAGTAGCGAAGAGAGCAGAGAGAGAGAGAGAGAGAGAGAGAGAGAGAGAGAGAGAGAGAGAGAGAGAGAGCGGGAGAGAGCGAGAGAGAGAGAGAGAGAGAGCGAGCGCGAGCGCGAGCGCGAGCGCGAGCGCGAGCGCGAGCGAGAGAGAGAGAGAGAGAGAGAGAGAGAGAGCGAGCGAGCGAGCGAGCGAGCGAGAGAGAGAGCGAGGAAGAGAGAGAGAGAGAGAGGAAGATAGAGAGAGAGAGAAGGAGAGAAGAGAGAGAGAGAGAGAGCAAGAGAGAGAGAGAGAGGAAGCGAGAGAGAGGGAGAGGAGAGAGAGAGAGAGAGAGCGGAGAGAGAGAGAGAGGGGGAGTTG